CTTGGGGGATTAGGTTTCAACACAGGAATTTTGTGGGGACACAAACATTGAGTCCATAGCAGAAAGCAGAAGCCAAACCTCTACGAACCACCCAGGAGGCTGCTGGTGATCTGCGTTTCCTCTCCCCTCTCCTAGCCACTTCCCATCATTCCCCGCAGGCAGGGGTCTCTTCCCATCATTCCCCGCAGGCAGGGGTCTCTTCCCATCATTCCCCGCAGGCAGGGGTCTCTTTCCTCCACCTCTTCCAGGTATTTGCTCCAACGTTACCTGAATTCCTTTGTCGTCCTCCCCCGACCTCCCCAGCTTTATGGAGGTATAATTGGTGTACAAAAACTGCATATAGTCCGGGCACGGTGGCTCACGCCTGTAATCCCAGCACTTTGGGAGGCCGAGATGGGTGGATTGCCTGAGCTCAGTAGTTCGCCACTAGCCAGGGCAACATAGTGAAGCCCTGTCTCTACAAAAATACAAAAAAAAAAAAAAAAAAAAAAAAAATCAGCCGGGGGTAATGGTGAACGCCTATAATTCCAGCTACGAGGGAGGCTGAGGCACAAGAATTGCTTGAACCCGGGAGGCGGGGGCTGCAGTGAGCCGAGCCCGTTCCACTGCACTCCAGCCTGGACAACAAAGTGAAACTCTGTCTCAAAAAAAAAAACCCACAAAAAAACTCCCTGCATATGACTAATAAATATATACATATTTAGTGAGTTTGGACAGATATACACACTCCTGTTACCATCACCACATTCAGGAAAGTGAACATATCCATTATCTCCAACAGTTTCCTTGTGTACCTTTGTCCTGGTTTTTTTTTTTTTTTTTTTTTTTTTGAGATGGAGTTTTGCTCTTGTTGCCCAGGCTGGAGTGCAATGGCGCAATCTCGGCTCACCGCAACCTCTGCCTCCAATATTCAAGCGATTCTCCTGCCTGAGCCCCTCTAGTAGCTCGCCACCGAACCCGGCTAATTTTGTTTTTTTAGTAGAGACCATGTTGGTCAGGCTGGCCTCAAACTCCTGACCTCAGGTGATCCGCCCGCCTTGGCCTCCCAGAGTGCTGGGATTACAGGCGTGAGCCACTGCACCCGGCTCTTTTTCTTTTCTTTCTTTTTGTTGAGACGGAGTCTCGCTCTGTCGCCCAGGCTGGAGTGAGTGGCGCGATCTCGGCTCACTGCAAGCTCCGCCTCCCGGGTTCCCGCCATTCTCCCGCCTCAGCCTCCCGAGTAGCTGGGACTACAGGCGCAGCCACCACACCCGGCTAGTTTTTTGCATTTTTAGTAGAGACGGGGTTTCACCGTGTTAGCCAGGATGGTCTTGATCTCCTGCCCTCGTGATCCGCCCGCCTCGGCCTCCCAAAGTGCTGGGATTACAGGCGTGAGCCACAGCGCCTGGCTTTTTTTTTTTTTTTTTTTTTTTTTTTTTTTTTTTTTTTGAGACGAAGTTTTGCTTTGTCCCCCAGCCTGGAGTTCAGTGTTCAGTGGCTCTATCTCAGCTCACTGCAACCTCCGCCTGCCAGGTTCAAGTGATTCTCCTACCTCAGGTTCCTGAGTAGCTGGGATTACAGGCGACCACCACCACGCCTGGCTAATTTTTGTGTTTTTAGTAGAGATTGGGTTTCAACATATATGTATGTTGGCCAGGCTGGTCTTAAACTCCTGACCTCAGCCTCCCAAAGTGCTGGGATTACAGTGTGAGCCACCACTCCGGCCTTTTCTTTTCTTTTCTTTTTGGTCGGAGGTGGATAAGAACATCTAACATAAGATCTTAACAAGTTTTTCTTTTTATTTTTCTTTTCTTTTTTGAGACAGGGTCTCCCTCTGTTGTCCAGGTTAGTGTGCAGTGGTACAATCACGGCTCACTGCAGCCTTGACTGCCTGGGGTCAAGTGATCCCACTACCTCAGCCCCTTGAGTAGCTCGGACTACAGGCGTACCACCACAGCCACCTGTTTTTAATTTTTTGTAGAGATGGAGTCTCACTGTCTTGCTCAGGCTGGTTTCGAACTCCTGGCCTCAAGTCATCTTCCCATCTCGGCCTCTCGAAGTGCTGGGATTACAGACATGAGCCACTGCGCCTGGCCAGCAAATTTTAAAATGCAGGATACTTTGTTAACTGTAGATTTCGGGGACTTCCCCATCTTTATTACTATAAAACGTTTTTGGCTCACGCCTGTAATCCCAGCACTTTGGGAGGCCGAGGCGGGCGGATCACGAGGTCAGGAGATCCAGACCATCCTAGCTAACACGGTGAAACGCCGTCTTTGCTAAAAATACAAAAAACTTAGCCGGGCCTGGCGGCGGGCGCCTGTAGTCCCAGCTAGTCAGGAGGCGGAGGCAGGAGAATGGCGTGAACCCGGGAGGGGAGGCGGAGCTTGCAGTGAGCCATCGCGCCACTGCACCCCAGCCTGGGCGACAGAGCGAGACTCCGTCTCAAAAAAAAAAAAAAAATGTTTTTGAGAAGGTACTGAAAAAACATTTGCTGAATAAATTGTGTGACAAACTATAGCATTTCCTTTGCTTAAACCTCAAAAACGTAAGTTAGATATGCAGAGCACCATAACTTTGTAATTACCTCTCACAGATCAATTATTCCCAGGTCATTCTCGAATCATTTTTTGTTATTGAGAATTAACTTGTCTTCTCCCCCACGCGGTATTCTTGGTAGCCTCTAGGAATTCACAAAGGGAGAATTTAAAGTGTCCTGTAGGTCCTTCAGAGATTCACAGGAAAAGACCTGCACTTTAACCGGTCTCTGTAGAGCAGGACTATTATGACAACATTTTTAAAAAATATAAGAAGCAAAAATGATCAATAAGATATCACCATTTGTACTTTGAAGTGGTAACATAGACTAGGGAATGGCATGTTTCCCCTGTTTGTGAAGAGGATAGTACAATGATGGGTCTTTGAGCAGAAACTTTTTCTTTCAAATGTCTAAGGCAGCACAATGTAATGGAAAGCCCATTGGTGTGGGAGTGAGCGTCCCAGCTTCCTGGGCAATAAAATGAACAGGCCTGATGACCGATCTCCAGGCCCTATCCAGCTCTAAAGGTCTCCAAAACTTTTGGAGATAAAGCCACGGAACTTTCTCGTGAGCATCAAAAGTTGTATTTCATGTTTATTATTGCAACTGACTTAATGTTCCAAGAGTTACTGTTAGAGATCTAGTATACGTAGATATGCAAACTTTGTTTTCGTAGTTTAGTGTTTTCCAGTAAACGAAATTTGTTTTCATATCACTAATATTTAAAAGTGTAAATAATATCTAGAACACATAAATTTAAAGAACCATCATAATTGTATTTAACTCTGATTCATTAAGGGATTAATTACCTAGTTTGTGAACGTGTAAGCCCCCTGTAGCTCTCTTCCCATTTTTGAACAAAAATAAAGAAGTTTCAAATTCAAGTTTGTGGCATATTTATAACCTTCAAAGACATTATAACCAAAGGCTAAAATGAGATTCTGGCGCTGTTTGGAAGTTTCTATTTTGGGGGCTCGCCTCACCACTTAACTTGAACTGGGGATTATCAGTAGTACCATACATAGTCCATTAATTTCAAGTCAAATCATTTCACAAATGTTAATATTTCACGTATACATGGCTGCAAGGTATGACAGAATGCTTCATAAAATCCATTGAAAATAAACTTCAAAAATAAAATGCATCAATCAGTTAAATCACATTAGCCTATGGGAGAAATTTCAATATGTATACTTCCAAATTTCAAATTAATAATGGGGCAATATTATTGTGCCACCTAGAGTACCAAACAGTGGGTATAAACCATCTCCTTAGTCAGATGGAACACTGGCTGGACACTGCAGATTATCTGGGGTTTAGGATGTTAACTTCTATCACGAATCTAAATTCTGACTTCCCTGTCTAAAACTTCGGGAACATCACATCTTTTATTTAAAGCGAAAAAGTAAACTTCTAACATACAAAATAACGGATTTCTTTTCAAGAGCGATAGTCCCTTTTTTTTTTTTTTTTTTTTTTTTTTTTAAAAACCGAATTCCTTTTTTTTTTTTTTTTTTTTTTTTTTTTTTTACAAAATCACTGCCCTTGATTTTTCATGAACTTTAAGTTTCAGAATGATTTGGTCAAGAGTATTTCTACAGGAATAGGAAGAGAATCAAGTGGGCCTATAATCAAAGACCTAGCTGGGTCTCACCCTCATGGTTAACTACTGAGACTTCATAGCCGATGACCAGGTCCTAAAGTGGACAGAGCAAGCCTTACTGGAGGTCCGTCTTTGTGGTAGGTACGGAAAACTTGGAAATGCAATTCTGAGGTTTATTTAGGGTTATTAAGAGCATGAGAATAGCTGCCCTGCAAAGGCTGGTAAACTAGGGTTTGCAGTATGGAGTAGTAAGCAAAGCCTCTACTTCCCAGGCCCTGCACCCGGGGTGTGGAACAGACAAAAGAACGGCTCTGCCCTTGCCCTTCTCGAACTTAAAATCCAATTCGCAAAGCAGGACTTACACATATTAATCAAATACAGCATTATGCTGAAAAGAGCCCCTGCGTGTAACCGTTGCCAATGTGTGTTGTACCAGTCAGAACGATTTGAAGGCGTTTTAAACGAAAAGCTGGAGAAACATATAAGAAGACAGATCTAAGATGGAAGAAAAGGCGGATTCGGGTTGAAATGCCAAGTTGAGGACTGAAGAAAGCATTTGGACAAAGCAGCCTCCAGGCTGGGAAGGCGAAAAGCCAAACGAGTATAGCCACCAAAGACCCAGAAAGGCCAATAGATTGTGCAGTGAGTCGGTTTAACTGAAAGGCGGTTTCCTTTTCCTCCATTTGCTCAGTCCCAATTGGAAGCGCACTGCGCGGCCTGCGCCGAGCTCTCGGCCCGGGTTCGGCGTGGGGGCGGGGAGGTAAGTACGGTAATGGGCGGGGCCGAGCGCGGGCGCGCTCCGGCTTTCCTCCTGCGCAGCGCTCCCGTCAGCGCAGGGGGCGGGGCGCCTATATTACGTGCGCGGCGCCGCCCCTGCGAGAGGACGTTGCGTGCTCGCTCGCGCCAGGCGAGTCTCCGCGTCTCCCTCGCGAACTCGGTGAAAGGAATTGGCGCCGTTCGACACCAGGCGGATCCGCTCTGCAGCACGACCCCATCTCCAGCCGCAGCCGCAGCCGCCGCCCGGGCCGAGGAGCAGCCGCAGCAGCCGCCACCAGTGGCCGAGTGAGCGGAGCCGAGTTTGAGGCAGCGCCTAGCGGTGAATCGGGGCCCTCACCATGAGTTCCTCGCCTGTTAATGTAAAAAAGCTGAAGGTGTCGGAGCTGAAAGAGGAGCTCAAGAAGCGACGCCTTTCTGACAAGGGTCTCAAGGCCGAGCTCATGGAGCGACTCCAGGCCGCGCTGGACGACGAGGAGGCCGGGGGCCGCCCCGCCATGGAGCCCGGGAACGGCAGCCTAGACCTGGGCGGGGATTCCGCCGGGCGCTCGGGAGCAGGCCTCGAGCAGGAGGCCGCGGTCGGCGGCGATGAAGAGGAGGAGGAAGAGGAAGAGGAGGAGGAAGGAATCTCCGCCCTGGACGGCGACCAGATGGAGCTAGGAGAGGAGAACGGGGCCGCGGGGGCGGCCGACTCGGGCCCGATGGAGGAGGAGGAGGCCGCCTCGGAAGACGAGAACGGCGACGATCAGGGTTTCCAGGAAGGGGAAGATGAGCTCGGGGACGAAGAGGAAGGCGCGGGCGACGAGAACGGGCACGGGGAGCAGCAGCCTCAACCGCCGGCGACGCAGCAGCAACAGACCCAACAGCAGCGCGGGGCCGCCAAGGAGGCCGCGGGGAAGAGCAGCGGCCCCACCTCGCTGTTCGCGGTGACGGTGGCGCCGCCCGGGGCGAGGCAGGGCCAGCAGCAGGCGGGAGGTAAGAAGAAGGCGGAAGGCGGCGGAGGCGGCGGTCGCCCCGGGGCTCCGGCGGCGGGTGAGTGCTGCGTTGTACGTTGCGCGCGGCGGGAGGCCCGCGCGGGGTGGGGACCGTGCCCCAGGCCTGCCGGAGCCCCGCAGGGGGAGGGAGCCCCGGGCGGGCGGGGGCCGCGGGGAGGGTGGCGGGTGGGGGAGGGGGCGCGGGGAATCCCAGATTAGCCGAGAGGCCTCGGGCTCGGGGCGTGTGTGCGTGTGTGCGCGTGTGTGTGTGTGTGTGTCGGCGGTGGCAGCGCCTCCATTATGTGGCTCGAGAGCCGGGGGGAGCTGCAGCTGCCGCTGGAAGGGGAGGAGCCGCGGGCGGGCGGCGGGAGGGAGCCCGGTCGGCCCGCGGTGGCGCCGTCGCGCTGCGTGCGCGCGGTGCGGGCACATGTCTCGGGGGGAGGGGAGAGGCCCCAGGTCCCGGGGCGGGCGCGCTTTGGCGGCTCCTCGCCGCTGTATTGTGCAAGGAGCGCAGGGGCTCGGCGTGACGTCACTTCCTGCGGGAGGAGCCGGGCGGGGCGGGGGGCGGAAGATCAGTACAATGCGGCCGCGGGGAGCGCGGGCCCGCGGGGGAGGGGGGCGCCGCCGCGCCGGGCTCGGCCCCTCCCCCTCCTGCGCCCTGGTCTGATACACGTGGGCTTCGGGCCTGGGCCGCGCAGTTTTTCTTTGGGTTTCTCGAATCATCGAGGAGACTGGCAAAATTAGTAACGTCTTTAGACTGCGTCACTAGCGCCAATCCAATTCGTAGCTGATTGTTCTTCGAATTCACATTTGAGTCCTCGGTTAAAACCTCAGTTAAAAAGCAGGATAAAGTCGAGCTGCTTTGCTTCTCGGAACGGAAAAGCGCTTTTTTGTTGTTGTTGAGCGGCTTGGCCTCTTATGGGGGTCTTGTGTGTTTTAGGGGACGGCAAAACAGAACAGAAAGGCGGAGATAAAAAGAGGGGTGTTAAAAGACCACGAGAAGATCATGGCCGTGGATATTTTGAGTACATTGAAGAGAACAAGTATAGCAGGTATAGGATGCCCACCTAGTTTGACTTGTCATCCCTTATTCGTTCGTTGATCGGAAAGCTGTATCAGGAGACAATTCTGTCTTTCAGAGCCAAATCTCCTCAGCCACCTGTTGAAGAAGAAGATGAACACTTCGATGACACAGTGGTTTGTCTTGATACTTGTAAGTGAAGCTGTTTCTCCCCAGTTATGAAATGCGGTGATGGTTTTTTTGTTTTTTTGTTTTTTTTTTGCTTCCAAAATGTTAGAAAACTTAATGCTTAAGTGCAGCAAAAGTTGGGTTAGTTTTTTTTAAAAGCAGGAAGACATAATGGTTTATATTCAGAACCTAGTAGTTTAATATTTAGCACGGCATCAGTTGTATCAAATGGATTATTTTACAGGCTCTAGGAGTTTCGTATTTTTATGACTTGAAAGTTCTCGTTCTTAGGAAATGTAAAATTAATGCCAGTTTCTGACTAGCTAACGGAAACTTGTAACACTACCTTAATTTAGCCTTACAGGCTTCTACAATAAAGTAATTCATTTTTTTGTGGAATTATATTAAGTGAGCTATTTGGGCTAGTTAAATATTTACTAATGACTTCTCCCATTAGCACACAAGCATATTCCCTATTCTAAAAGATTGTAATACTACTTTTTCAATAACTGCTCTTTTGTTCTCAATTCCAGTTCAGTAGCTGCTGCTTTAAACATAAGTTGATTTCTTCCAAAGACCTGAGGCAGCAGCAGTGGGCTATCACTGGGCCACTAGCTTTCTTCAGCAGCGAATGGTATCAATGGCAGTGCAGCACTGTAAATACTGCTACTTCACCCAGTTGGGTTGCAATTGAGTATGAGAAAGTATTGCAAACCTCTAAGTGGGCTTTGACTGTCAGACTTGCATTTTTTTTGTTGTTATAAAAAAAAGTAGTTGGTTTAGTGATCAGAATTCACAACTCTGGGTGTGGTAAATAGACCAAAGAATAGAAATACCTGTTTGAAAGTATCAGCTGTGGTGTCAGCCTGCTCTGTTAGATGGAAGGCATTGAAGCTTAGCTTCTCATGTTTTCTTGTACAATTTGGTTTTATTCAGATTTGTAAGAGTGTAAATGTAAAACTTTCTTACTGGAATGTCGTTACAGAAGGTTGAGATAGTCATCTGAGCCTTTTTAAAATAAAAAACTGCAGGTGAAAAAGGAGTTAGTTGATTTGAAAGTTTTATGTGAAATTCTGGGTTGTGTAAATAAAAAGTTGCTAGGAATTGGCAAGGTAGTGAAGTGGTGACTCATGCAGGTAATGTAATTGTTAGATTTTTTAGCAAATCAGATAGGAATATGTCAATATAAACACAATGTTGAATTCAAACAATCTGTTGAATTAAATTCTGTTGATTACAGTAATTCTAATTTAAGAAAAATTCCAAACTGTAGATTTATTTTTCTCTCATCAGTAAAAAAAAAAATCGAATTCCAGCTTGACTTTAGCTGTTGAAGTGAGAAGTCTGAGAAGGTGCATGTTAATGAGCCAGTGACCCATAGGTAGCTAGGTTAAAGACACTTTGGATTTGGATAATCCGGGAAGCAGTTAATCCCTAATTGTTGAACAGGCAGTTCTGAGTAAAGAGGACCTAAAATGCTGCACTATTAACAGCATTAGACGGCCAGGTTTGTACTTCATAGATTTAGGCTGTCTTCTTCACAAGTTTTAGAAGAAGAATTTAGGAGCTAGAGCCCTGGTGCAGGATCAACAGCAGCTCATACTCCTGTTTCAAAATAATTTGGTCGTGGCCTCCTTTCAGTTTTAATGTGGCACTGGTAAATCTACCTGGTTCTGGCATGCTTCACTTTGATTTCCTGCTATCCTCTACTGCTTGCCTCTAAATCAAGGTAAAGAGCAGAGCAGGTATGTATTAATGTCACATTGTCTTGATTATTTTAAATACTTAAAATATACATGTTAAACCTTGGTATTAGTTTCAGAGGCAGTTTACTTTTCAGTACATAATTTAAAAGGAGTGACTTGGTGGGAGTGGGGCTTTAAACTGAAAATTGGAACAACAGCATGATGTGGAGAAAGTTGTGCAGCGTTAAGAAGTACATGCAAAAATTGAATAACCAAGTTTTCTCTACGTAGCAGATATGTTTACAGTGGATGTCAAAAGTAACACAGTATTTGGTATAATTACAGATAATTGTGATCTACATTTTAAAATATCAAGAGATCGTCTCAGTGCTTCTTCCCTTACAATGGAAAGTTTCGCTTTTCTTTGGGCTGGAGGAAGAGCATCTTATGGTGTGTCAAAAGGCAAAGTGTGTTTTGAGATGAAGGTAAATGCAATTTTATGATGTTTTTGTTTGTTTTTGGAGACAGAGTCTCACTCTGTCCCCTAGGCTGGATTGCAGTGGTGTGACCTAGGCTCAACTGCAACCTCCCCGTCCTGGGTTCAAGCGATTCTCCTTGCTTCAGGCTCACAAGTAGCTAGGACTACAGGCAGGTGCCACCACACCTGGCTAATTTTTGTATTTTTAATAGAGAACGGGGCTCCTGACCTCAGGTGATCCACCCACCTCCGCCTCCCAAAGTGCTGGGATTACAGGCCTGAGCCACCGCGCCCAGCCTTTTTTTTTTTTTTTTTTTTTTTCTTTTCTTTTTAAAATAGTGACAGGGTCTCACCATGTTGCCCAGGCTAGTTTTGAACTCCTAAGCTCAAGTGATCTGCCTGCCTGGGCCTCCCAGAATACTGAAATTACAGGTGCTTCATACTGCTAAGTTATCAGAGGTACTTATTTTTGAAGCTTCCTGTAAATTAAAAGAGGAACTTGGAACCTTCATTTTGTTGTGACAGTTAAGTTTGTTATGTTAGAACTTGACATGCAGAGCTAGGCAACTTTTTATTTAGGGTACTTCATTTTTATCAAGCATTTGAAAGGGCCACCAGAGTGAAAAATAAAATTTGGTTAGATTACAGGTTTTGTTGGCGAAAAAAACATTAAATGTATCCTTTAATTGGCTTTAAGTTGAAGACTGACAACATGAACTGTAAAAATATTAACTATTCTTTTAAATATGGGTCAAATAAGTATTTAACATTTCAAGTGATAAGCACATCAGTTTAAAGTTCTTACAAATATTAGGGATGGGCTAGAGTGTGCCATCTCTTTGTATTTGTAGCTGGAGGAAGATTAGCTCATGACCCTATGAAATAAGCGAGAGTTAAGGGGTTACCTCCTTGGTTTATGATTTTAATTATTTAATGATTCGACTTTCAGGTTACAGAGAAGATCCCAGTAAGGCATTTATATACAAAAGATATTGACATACATGAAGTTCGTATTGGCTGGTCACTAACTACAAGTGGAATGTTACTTGGTAAAGATTCTTTTTGACTGATGTGGGCTCATGAATGTTTAGGAGGGTCTGATATCCTTATTTTTTAACCAGACTAGAGGGCATTCTAAGCCTTTTGTCTGTTTTTATCTATTCTGTTAATACTCCAGACAAGTAATATTAGCACATAGTAGGCACAGGCTACATTTTAGTTTTTGTTCCTTTATTAGAAGTTTATGGTTGAAATAAAATCTTACCCATGATATGCAAATTGTCAACTAATTTGGTCTCTGCATATATGTATATCCCTCCTAACTTTTATCAATTCTAGTACAGAGGTAGAAAAGTAATAGTGTCAGTGACAGGTGATTAGGTTATATGCTCATTTCTCTTGTAGCCTACATTTTAAGTAGTGAAATAGATGAGTCTTTGGACTATTTTAAAAATCTACTTCACGAAGGTTAATTACTTTCTTAGGTGAAGAAGAATTTTCTTACGGGTATTCTCTAAAAGGAATAAAAACATGCAACTGTGAGACTGAAGATTATGGAGAAAAGTTTGATGAAAATGATGTGATTACATGTTTTGCTGTAAGTTAAAGCTAACTTTCTATGTATAAATGGCAAATTAGTAGCTATATCTAGGAACTTTTAAGAAGCTTTATTAAGGTCAATCTTCAATAGGAGCAACATAAATACACCAGTCCCTGGGTTAGTATAGATACTCATTCAGCAGTTGAATTGGGAAAATACAGGACATTTTTGAGGAACTCACTAATTTCATTTTGACTGAAAACAGTGAAGATGAAATTAACCTAGAAAATTTAGTCTAACTTCTAGGTCACTATTGTTTCTGGTTCTGGAGATACGTGCTTCATTGTTTGTAACCATCAGATTTCTTAACTGTGTAGCCCTTAGAGGCCACTTAATAGTTGTTTAACCTGTAGCTCCCACAGGATAAGCTTTGCTCCCAATTTTAATTATTAGTTTTTTAGAAAGTTTATAGGAAGCAGATAACTTGAATTTTTTGCTGTTTAACAGAACTTTGAAAGTGATGAAGTAGAACTCTCCTATGCTAAGAATGGACAAGATCTTGGCATTGCTTTCAAAATCAGTAAGGAAGTTCTTGCTGGACGGCCACTCTTCCCGCATGTTCTCTGCCACAACTGTGCAGTTGAATTTAATTTTGGTCAGAAGGAAAAGCCATATTTTCCAATACCTGAAGAGTATACTTTTATCCAGAATGTCCCCTTAGAGGATCGAGTTAGAGGACCAAAGGGGCCTGAAGAGAAGAAAGATTGTGAAGTAAGTGATTTTTTTTTTTTTTTTTTTAACTGGCATTTGAATATTGTTTGCCTGGCACAAAATGACATTTAGAAGAGGTAGATGATTAGTCTGTTTACTTTGTGCTGTACATATTTCTCTTAAGTAACTATTGTTTTCCCCTTATGTTGACTGTTACTCTTTCCATAAATACAAATTTTTGTCCCTTAGTATAAGGGCTATGAAGACTTAGATATTTAAATTGGTCTTAAAAGAACAATATTTAAAGAATTATTAGGTGGTGTCTAATGACATTTCTTTATTTTCACTAGGTTGTGATGATGATTGGCTTGCCAGGAGCTGGAAAAACCACCTGGGTTACTAAGCATGCAGCGGAAAATCCAGGGAAATACAACATTCTTGGCACAAATACTATTATGGATAAAATGATGGTAAGTAAAATGTTTAGGGCCTGATCTCAGTGTTTAAAATAGACGAGGAGAGGCTGGGCATGGTGGTTCACGCCTGTAATCTCAGCATTTTGGGAGGCTGAGGTGGATGGATCACCTGAGGGCAGGAGTTTGAGACCCACCTGGCCAACATGGCAAAGGCCCATTTCTACTGAAAATACAAAAATTAGCCAAGGGTGGTAGTGGGCACCTGTAATCCCAGCTGCTCAGGAGACTGAGGCAGGGAGAATTACTTGAACCTGGGAGGCAGAGGTTGCAGTGAGTCGAGATCGTGCCATTGTACTCCAATCTGGGCGACAGAGCAAGACTCTGTCTCAGAAAAAAAAAAAAGAAAAATGATAGACCAGGAGGTATTCTAGGTAAACCTTTTGCCTTTGTCTCTATCCATTTTGTTAATATCTTAAGAAGCTGGGAGGAAAGATAAGATTAAGTTGGTTCTTTAAGTAAGCTCTGTGAGGGTAAACTGCCTTCCAGTGACTAGGCTCCTGTGTTTTTGAGCACAGGAGCTGCTAGTGTTTCTAGAAGTTAAAAAGAATTAAGTGTAGGGTGTAGGGTCTTGTTACATAGTTTAAGTGACCCTGTTTTTGTAACAATAATGGACAAAGGTAATATAAAATGTTGCCTGCTTTACATATAGATGAGAGTCGAATTTTAAAAAGCATAACTTATTAAAATTCACAAGTTCAAGGGGAAATTTTAACTTTTGAATATAGGTGGCAGGTTTTAAGAAGCAAATGGCAGATACGGGAAAACTGAACACACTGTTGCAGAGAGCCCCACAGTGTCTTGGGAAATTTATTGAGATTGCTGCCCGAAAGAAGCGAAATTTTATTCTGGATCAGGTATGCTGTAGCTTTGAAGATGAAAAATATTAACTGATAATTTAGATAGATTGGTGTAGAATTCACATTTAGGGTTGTGAACATAAATTTCTTTTTTTAAAGACAAATGTGTCTGCTGCTGCCCAGAGGAGAAAAATGTGCCTGTTCGCAGGCTTCCAGCGAAAAGCTGTTGTAGTGTGCCCAAAAGATGAAGACTATAAGCAAAGAACACAGAAGAAAGCAGAAGTAGAGGGGAAAGACCTACCAGAACATGCGGTCCTCAAAATGAAAGGCATGGAATTTTAATTTAATTCTGTTAAGTGTGTTAAATCTTTTTTTTTTTTTTTTAATTTTTTTTCATGCATATTCTGCTTATGTAACTTTGTTATATCTATTAGGACTTACTCTTCTGAAAAGTTAACATTTTTTCCAGCAGTACTGCTTCAGGAATTACAATTGCACTTGTTAAATATGCATATATGTTTGGTCTATTTCTGTTTATTTTTAGGAAAATACGTTACTAAACCTTAATAATTTGTTAGCTTTAGGATTGTGGGGATTTGTGGTGGGTTTCTAAGTTAATAATACGACTTTGTTTCCTGCAGGAAACTTTACCCTCCCAGAGGTAGCTGAGTGCTTTGATGAAATAACCTATGTTGAACTTCAGAAGGAAGAAGCCCAAAAACTTTTGGAGCAATATAAGGAAGAAAGCAAAAAGGCTCTTCCACCAGAAAAGAAACAGAACACTGGCTCAAAGAAAAGCAATAAAAATAAGAGTGGCAAGAACCAGTTTAACAGAGGTGGTGGCCATAGAGGACGTGGAGGATTCAATATGCGTGGTGGAAATTTCAGAGGAGGAGGCAAGTTAATTTTGAGTGTTCTGTATTTAGTTCAGGATCGAAACAAATGATAATTTTATAGTTTGGATATAACTGGTTTCTTCCTCATTAATGGTATGCTGTCACAGTAACTAGTATTCATGTAATTTGACAGTAAATACACCTAGGTTATGTTAATGGTTAGAATTAAACATTACTTTTGTCTTTAAACAATTATTTTTGGAGAAAAAGGAACAATCTAGAGGAATCCTGAGTCTTCTGTATAAGTAGGGTACAATGCAATGAAACTAAAACATCTCTTGTTTTTAGCCCCTGGGAATCGTGGCGGATATAATAGGAGGGGCAACATGCCACAGAGAGGTGGTGGTGGCGGTGGAAGCGGTGGAATCGGCTATCCATACCCTCGTGCTCCTGTGTTTCCTGGCCGTGGTAGTTACTCAAACAGAGGGAACTACAACAGAGGTGGAATGCCCAACAGAGGGAACTACAACCAGGTAATGATTAAAGATCCCTGGAAGCATGATGGTATCTGTATAGCTTAATCTGGAAGGTTGTGAGCTTTATGTTGGGGTGTCTTAGTAGTCCATAAGGAACATGATAGGCATTGACATAAGGAAAATTGAACTAGTAATGGTGAAATGAGTCTACTTACTTTTGAGTTTTTTCAGGTATACTAATTAACAAGTCAGATGCGTTTCTCATAATGAATAAAAAATTAAAACTAAGAAACCAGCAGAGGGTATCCAGAATTTGTGTATTGCCCCCTAAGATTAGGGGCTAGCAACCTGTCCATTTCTGCTCCTCTCTCCCACCCCCGCAAACCTAACAAGCGATTGAGCCCAGAGCTCTTAGATCTATTTCCTTTTTGTAGAACTTCAGAGGACGAGGAAACAATCGTGGCTACAAAAATCAATCTCAGGGCTACAACCAGTGGCAGCAGGGTGTAAGTAATTTCTTACGTGGTTTATGTACTTTAATTGTATTTTGAGTTCCTAAGATTTATCAGTCTTGAAAAAGATCCTGTCCAGGGATTGAAGTGTTTATAAGTGTTAATAGGGTAAAGTGTGAATCGTGTTGCAGTAGTAGCCATAATCTACCTTTGAAGGCAAAATAGGTTGAAAATTGCTATAAGTTAAATTTTTTTAATGAAGTAATATTATTTAATATATACAGCTCTTTTTACTGTTAGCTTTAATTGTGTAAACTAACAAATTCATGATGTGTTTCATTTTGTAATGTGTATTGATAATTATGGGATATTAAAACTAAATCTGGTAGAAATCAGAGGTATGACAAGTATAAATTTGTTTCCAGCAAATTACTCTGAATTAGATTCATTGTCATTTCCTAAAAACAGTTTGAGTGGCTTATTGATGTTTTTTCTTTAAAAACAAAATTTTCTCTTACAGCAATTCTGGGGTCAGAAGCCATGGAGTCAGCATTATCACCAAGGATATTATTGAATACCCAAATAAAACGAACTGATACATATTTCTCCAAAACCTTCACAAGAAGTCGACTGTTTTCTTTAGTAGGCTAACTTTTTAAACATTCCACAAGAGGAAGTGCCTGCGGGTTCCTTTTTTAGAAGCTTTGTGGGTTGATTTTTTTTCTTTTCTTTTTTGTACATTTTTAATTGCAGTTTAAAAGTGAATCGTAAGAGAACCTCAGCATTGTGCACGATAAGAGAATGTGTCAGTATTTCAGGGTTCTACATTTTATCTGTAAAATGTGACTTTTTTTTTTTTATCACAACAGAAGTAAAATGTTGCTTTGTACCTGGTGTCTTTTATTAAGAATTTACTCCCCCCGTTTCTCACAGAGAATAACAGTCGGGAGTCATTGTCACAATATAATAGAAATGTTAGCAACCAGATTCATGTAAGGACTAAGTGGTCCTCATGAATTGCATTAAGACTCTGTACTGCTCATATTACACTCCATCCTCTCTGTAGTTTGCTGGGTAGTGGAGGGGGTAAGCTAAATCGTAGTTTCTGACAATAACTGGGAAGGATTTTTCTTAAATAACAATGGAATTGGTATAATTGGGATTGAAAACCAAAACTTGGAACTAAGATAGAGAAGATGGAGTGTATGTAGAAGGGCTGTTAAAAATGTAAACCTTGGTTGCATTATTTGTGGAGGCTCAAACTTGTGAAGGTTAAATACCATAATTTTTCCATTTGTTCTGCATTTTGATTCTGAAAAGAAAGCTGGCTTTGCCCATTTCTTATTAAAAAAACTTGTTGTAAATCCAGTTGTCTAATGGGATCTATATGAAGTTAGCCATGTCTGTATGCCCTTCTCCCACAAAATACTGTATAACTAGTGTGCTTGTAGTAGTTAACTCCACCATCTTTGTAAGCTAATGAAATTGTGAGTCACCCATTTATATCTTAATTTTTAATCATGTCAGTTCTTGAATGGGTATCTCCTTAGCCTGCTGATTTCTTTTTCTTTCTAAAGAAAGTGGGTGGAGAAATTAATTTAGACGTTTGTTTGCAATAAAAAGAATTCATTTTACTCTTGTTTTGGGATTCTCGCCATCAAGGTTCAAAATCCCTTTATATAACTCCCAAGAGGAGAAATATTAAGTGTGTGCTTTCTGGACAGCTTATTTACTCTGCATAGAACATTTAGGTTTTAAAAACTTAAATGTATACTGACAATTGATATATAATTATGAAGTAAAGTTGAATTCTTCCCTTCCCCTCCCCACCAGACAACTTTTAACATATTTAATGAGGGGAAAAGGTACTGGCTGGGAGAAGTTAACACTGAGTTTATCATCTTTACAGAATGCTAATGCTGTCCTCAACTGATTATTTTATATACATATATGAGATACATGAAACTCTGGGAACAGATGCTTTTAGAAGCCATCATGCAAGCCAGTCATTGATGTCACTACTACACAACACTGCTAACTTGACTGTAGCTCTGTAATAACATTAGATCCCCTAATTGTAATTATATTGGGTTTGCACAGAACACTTTTAATCTTCCCCTCACCCATGTGAAGTGAGGAATCAGGAGTCAAACTGTAGAACTAAAATTTGACTTCAGTCTAGTGTTTCCTTGGTGTTTTTAGGTTGCTTTTGGTAAGTTTAGGTTTGCTATATTTCTGATTGCTTAGAATTTTGTTTTAGCCCTTTAAAATCAGATCTTAAATATGAATTCATACTTCCAAGGAATTTTCTTGCTGTAAGCTGGAGTTTTAAGTGATGGTGTAGGTTCAGTTGAGACATTTTTGGAACAAAGGCTAATCCTTAGTTAACATAGGATATTTAACAGTTGAAGATAGTGTCATGGATTTTTACCTTTTCTAGCAAGTAATGCTAAGAACCACTGGCCTGAGCTACTCTTCAGTATACCTTATTACGATTGCATAGGCTTACCTAGAGGAACAGTTTCAGGTTTCGATGCTAATCAGCGTTGTGTCCTAAAGTTGTCCTTTGTGCCTTTAAAAAGTCTTGGATATACCCTGTAGTTTAAAATTGCTTATTAAGGAATTCATTTTATAATTGCAATGGGAAAGTAATGGTCAGGTAACACTAGGTAGACTATCATTCCTGTTTAGCCCAGAGAATTTGGGGAGAGTAGTTAAAAATGGTACCCAGAAAAATGTTAAAATTTTTAGTCAAGACTGGAATTAATAGAATTATCTACACTTGTATGGAAGAAATAACCTTAAAGTGTTTAAGGGATTCAGAGAAGGGAGTGTACCAAATAGCAAGCAACAGGGAGAAAATTAGGTAAGTTAAGAAATAAGATATGAATGAGAAACCCGATTTATTGCTCATCCTTCCCATGCCTCCCTAATGGCAAGCAAAAATCTGAACAACCGAAAAGGATGTAGTTCTGGACAAATCCTAACTACCCAAAGGAAACTCACTGTGAGATTGCTGTTGATTTGAGGGGTGCTTTCACTAAGAGGTTATATTTGAAAATAGAATAACATGCTGAGTGAAAACTGGCTTTGGATTGGTCAGCTGCAGTAATACAAAAACAGCAGAGAATTTGAGAAAAGAAAACTAAAACTTAGACTGCTGTGAGATAGAAATGATGTAAATAAAATTATATGGAAAGTTTTCCCTCATATACTCACACATCCTTTGAAGGGCTCTGGCTTTGACCAGTTTATGACCTTGAGCAAGATGAAATCATGAAATTGAGTCAAATCAATTTGACACTGAAATGACAAGAGGAAACTCTTAAATTTATAAAAACAAGCCCTCATTTGCCTAGGACAGATCCTGTCTATAAAAATAAAGATTGAACCTAGATGTTCTGAGCACTAGCAACAAGGTATTAAAGTTTAAAGGAATTTTCTTTGAAAAAGTTATGAAATTATTCTAGGAAACAACCATAATAGTATTTTAAGGGACTTTCACCTGGGGATTTTATATTCATGAATAGAGTGTATTCTGTATTTAAAATGTCTCATTTGTGGGAATTGAATGACATGTTTTTTGATAAATTTATTCACAATATAAATTGACTTTCTATTCTAGGACCATGTAAATAATGGGTTCCATTGCACAAATAAAAATATTTTAATAGCTTCTTAGGCAGTGGTGTAGACATCTTGGATATAAATAATTGTAGACCTTGTATATTTGGTTTTTTAAAAACTAGCATAAACAGTGAGAGAGGCATAAACATATCTTTTAGAGCCCAAGTGGTAGTGTCTAGCATTGGATATAATAAATGGATGTTTTACAAAGTGTTTCCATAATTCTCTTCCTATACATAAATATAAAATGTCTTGTTTTCAAAAGTGGATGGAACTTGGCTGGGTGTGGTGGCTCACGCCTGCAGTCCTAGCACTTTGGGAGGCCAAGGTGGGAGGATCACTTGAGCTCAGGAGTTTGAGACCATCTTGGGCAACATAGTGAGACCTGGTCTCTTAAAAAAAACAGTGGATGGAACTTGTAGCAGAGAATTTTATCTACTTCTCATCCTGCTTGAGAATACTCTTTGAGATGTTCCCTTGGAAAGATGAACAGAATGCTGCATCTGAAGCGATTTCTTCCCACCTAACACTCTTAAAATGATTGGAGTCTAAACTTTGTCATTCATTCCTAATTCTGGAGCTCTGAGGTTGAGGGGTTCAGTTTGGTGAATAATTGGGTTTAAGTTTTAACATTTTAGTAATAGTTAATTAAAGCCAACATACATACGTTAAACGCCTGACAATACGTTGCAATTCCTATGCACTGGGACTCGTACCCAGCATAAACCGTGCTTTGAGCAAGAATTGGTCAACTACCTGAGATCTCTAAAACAGTCATTTGAATTACTAATTATATAAACCACAAGTCTCTTCGAATTGTTAATTGCCTAAATTTACTCTAAAATTTAGTTAACGCTGCAGTGCCTTTATTATTTAAAGCTTTTTTTTTTGGTGGAGGAGGGCCACAGCTACTCCGTAACTTTAAATTTTAAAGCATGAAGGTGGTCTGGCTAGTATTAGCGCTTGAGTTGGTAGTTACATAGGCTGCTCTTGAATCATACTGTTTTCTTTGCCTAGGATTAGCACTACAGGTACATATTTGTAAAATAAGCATTAAAAGTACTTTGTCCAGCTAACTCATGTTGGAGTGACCTTTGTCTTATTAACCTTTGTTATGAAACTTAATTAGAATAAGCCCTTGAGAATTTGGAAGTGAGCTATACTACTAATGTAGTATGTATCCCTTTGGAGTAGGTGAAAAACCAGGGGTCACCTAGAGTCTATGTTTTTGAAATTGAACAGAAACAATTCATCTTAATACTTAGTTTTCATTATGTTTAGCTTAATATGTGTGCTAGTTTATTTGGTGTCACACTTATGTCAATCTCAAGTCATGCAGAAATAGCACAGTCTCAGGGAGGAGGTTAGGTGGGAAATTGATGATACGCTTACATTATTGAGTAGGACTATGCTTTCACATCCTAACCAATTGGCTAAAAATATAAATGATTGAAATAATTTTCGTTAGTTGCCACAGGAATCTTTAATAATAGTTTTAAGGAATAGTAGATTGGAAATAGGCAGATGGGTTATATTCATAATGTTAACCTAGAATTACTCAGAAAATATAACACCTATGTAGTAGAATGTGTTGATTGTAAGCCTAGTGTTAAGCGAACATGTTGAAGATGGGCCAGGACATCAGTAATCACTACTTGGTTAGGCAAGTTATTAGGACAGGGATCGTAACCATGTTGTCAGTTTGTAGTTACCTAATTATTGATAAGGAATACTTTCTTTTTCATGCCAGGATTCAGCATATACTTGCGTCTTGAGCAGGTGCTTTGCTTTTAAAGCTGAATCCTGGGCATAAAAAGCTATATACTGTAGTCGGAAGTGTGAAGTAAATGTCAGTGTAGGTTAGTCTCTAGAGAAATGTCTTCTATAGAGATTCAGGGTTTTTTTGCACCGTTATGGTCACCATACTGTGCCAATGACATCGTTACTCACGAGCATGTCCAGTATGTCTATGTTATTGAAAAATAATGCAGATGTTACAGGCTGGAGAGTTAGCATCTGACAGAAGTGCTGCACCATTGTGGCGTGTTCTTCCTCCTAGTTAACAGTTCCATTCTGAACCTTACAGGAAGTCAAATGAGTTATGTCTAGTAAAATATATGTTGCAAACACTTAAAGCATTGCCACAAATTGGTGTCAGCCGAGACATTTAAAAAAATTTTAAAACAGCAAGAATAGATGTGGCTGGTATAGACACCAGTTTATAAGTGTGACATTAATGCTACAAAAGTTAAAGCATATATGGAGGTGAGATAACATTAATACCTAAAGAGTTATTGGCTTATTTAAATGTCAACTAACAAAAGGAATTTTTTGAGGCAACTTGTATCCTGTATCTCAGTTGTATGTAGTTAAAGATTGGGAGAATCATGGACAAGTACAAGAATAAAAGATTCCAACGTAACTTTTTTTTTCTTGAAAAGTAAAGCAAACAAATGTGCTGATTTACATTTCATCTCCTTTTCCTTAGTCTGTCCATGTGAATGTGCTGTGTGGAAGAGTTAAAGGGTCCAACTAAATGTTCCAGTGATTCCAATAGGTATTCCAAATTAATTGCTGCTTGTACATTTCATAGTTACGTTAGGCTTCCAGAATCACTTTAAATAGGGCTCTATTTTTAAAAGATGGGGGAAGAGAGTAATTGGTAACCAGATGGACAGAGTCTCTATAACAGAAAAAAAAGGGTGTTTCTCTTGCATAGCTGAGGTGAAGTGTGTATTCTGTGTGTTCTTAGCAATTGGCAGTCCTCTTGCTTAGGTTTACAGGTGTATGTGCAAATAGACCTGAGTCCTTTCAAAGTTAGATCATTTTTCTGATGTCATCTATTAAACTTTTGGCAATACATTTGTTTTGATCTCCACCGTACTTGGTAGAGTGTAAGTACTTCCTTACAACGTTCTAATGTCAAACAGTGCATAGGGGGACCTTTCTGTCCTTGGTTGCCCAAAATCTTTTTCATTTCTATTAAATTCACAAATACTTATTTTTACTAGCTTATGAAAATTTGGAAAATAGCTGGACATCCTTTTGGATAATGAAGTGATTAGTTCATATATTGAAGTATATAAAATCAACTAGGAAGTAAATTCAAGACTGAAGGAATGGGAGGGCTTGTGTGAGCTTTGGTTGTATCAGTCCAGGACATGTAATTTTCCATTTCCCTGAAAAAGACTTTAAAGGAGATTTATTTTCCCCACTATACACTCCAGAATGTCTTTAGGTGAACTAAGAGGGCTTGGGCCTCTTAGTTCCAGATTCCAGATGTCTTAGTTCCAGATTCCAGATGATTCCAGATGTAGCTATCAGTTTGCTTAATGAAATATGGGTCTACTCACAAATAAAGCAATTTAATGGTTTCTGAAGAGTAGGCAACTTACGGTTTCATAACCATTTCTGTTCATTTGAGAAAAATAAAACTACAGAAAAGGGAAACATTCATTTCAAAAATAAGCTTTGAATTTAGATGGTAAGGCATATGTTTTATTTCACATGACTTCAGAGTATTGGTGAAGAAACATTTTTATGGAAACTTAAACCTTAAGAAGCCAGTATATGCAAAGAATGATTACATTGATATCCCCTGAGGGTGTGCCATATAATAGGTGACTGATAATATACAGGATTTAATTCTTAGAAGAATTAAGAACAGATACCACCCATTACATTGACCTACCTTTTAAAGTGAACAATAGAAACCTCTCTCAGAATTAGTATTTGCTTATTATCAACATAGAAATACTTAAATGTCCTTATTTAGAACATAGAAGCATAGGGCAAATGCAGTGGTTGAAAGCACTGAAAAATATTTGTAAAACATTTGTAGTGCTCACATTATGAACTTCAATACTTTGAAAAAATTATCTTCATGATTTTTTTGTTCTAACAGCTTCCTTTTTAGGAAAACATTTTAAAACATTTTAAAATGGAACTTAATATGCAAAATAAGTTGTGTAAAATACCAGTATTTTGGGTGGTAGAGGATATTGGTATATTGACCTGGGTTGATGACGACTGGAGTATTTTAAGATACCTACTTCCAAAAATTATTTTATTCTAGAGGACCACTAAAAATCAGAATTACAGCAATCATTTTAATTTTTCTACTTTCCTTGTTAAGATCTTCTGCTTACCCAAAGAATAGTGTATATCTTAACATGACTTTTAAAGGGGTGTCTTGATCCCCATCACAGATTTTTATCTAGGAATAGAAGGATTGAAACCCTATTTGATCCCTAGCTCTTTGCTGAAAAGTGCATAAACAGGAATCCTGAATTTATTATATAGACCTCCTCGCATTATATAATCGAAGCAAAGGGAAACCAGCGATGGAGTAGAGGTACGTAGACTAAAGAGATGCTTGCAAATCAAATGATGGTACCTAGGGATAGTCACATTTTCTTGTTGCCAAACTCAGTCAATATAAATCACAAGTCCAGAGAAGAGCTAGTTAATTTTAAATTCCCCGAGGTCCTTTTACTGAGATGGAAAAGCACAAGCAGTCAAGGAAAACCAAAGAGGGAGGGGCGAGGGAAGGGGAAAGTGCATAAAGCACTTAAAAGATTTTTTAAAAGTAGGTATGATAGATAAGCCACAAGAAGTTTGTAAGACTACTAATAACCATAATTCTATTTTAATCAGCTATTTAGCTGGTACCTACTGCTATATCACCTAGTGTGACATTTCGGAATTAATGGAACAATGAAAGAAGCTGTACGCTGGAGATGCCAGGTGCTCATGGAAGGTAGGTTACTCTTACAGTTTGAAATTGTGACGTGTGAAAGTCTGGATGAGAGGAGAAGGGGAACCTGGGCTATTTTTATTTTTTTTGAGACCGAGTCTGGCTCTGTCACCTAGGCTGGAGTGCAGTGACACGATCTCAGCTCACTGCAACCTCCGCCCCTCGGGTTCAAGCAATTCTCCTGCTTCAGCCTCCCGAGTAGCTGGGATTACAGTTGCACACCACCATGCCAGGCTAATTTTTATATTTCGTTTTTTAGTACAGACGGGGTTTCACCATGGTTGGCCAGGCTGGTCTCGAACTTCTAACCATGTGATCTGCCCGCCTTGGCCTCCCAAAGTGCTGGGATTACAGGTGTGAACCATCGCGCCCGGCCAGGAACCTGGACTGTTTTTTGTCTAGCATTTATTGACTATTTTGTGGATGAGAATGTAAAGATAAAAATGGCCAAGGTTTTTGCCAGTGAGAAACTTAGGCTGTACGTGATGGTACCTGACACTGCTGGTGACCAAGGAAAGCACCAATGATTATAAGACACAAAATAGAACTTAAAAGGTGATTGTAGTTCCCAGAAGCTAGTGAGCAAAAAAATGGAAAGTTACAGAGAGGAAGTAAAAAAGCCATTCCAAGTGAAACGAAAAAGTTTGAGTGGCAGCGTGGATACGGTATAAAGGTCATAATGTGCCAGGAGCAGTGGCTCATGCCTGTAATCCCAGCACTTTGGGAGGCTGAGGCAGGCGGATCACCTGAGGTCAGTTCAAGACCAGCCTGGCCAACATGGTGAAACCCCGTCTCTACTAAAAATACAAAAATTAGCCAGATGTGGTGGCATGCACCTGTAATCCCAGCTACATGGGAGGCTGAGGCAGGAGAATCACTTGAACCCAGGAGGTGGAGGTTACAGTGAGCCAAGATCATGCCACTGCACTCCAGCCTGGGCAACGAGAATGAAACTCCATCTCAAGAGGAAAAAAAGGGTCACAGTGCATTGAAGGTTTAGCAAAAAACTAAACACAGTTTGGACGTGAAGTTGGATGGTAGGGTAGACATTGGTAGGAGACTGGAAGTGTCTACCGGTTTCTCCTTATTGAGGGTGGGTGTTACAGACTTTAGTAATTTATTAATACACTTGTAAAATCTTAATAGCACAAGAATAAAAATTATCATCATGTAAATACATGAAGCATTTAAAAAATAATCCAACCGAATGTGTTACAAATTTGTTTTTATCCAGGTTTCCAGTTTATGCAAACTTCTGTGAAAATGAGCTAACCTTGTTATTGGTGAAGACATTGGAAATTTTACCAGCCAAGAGAGAGCTTCTCTCTTACTCAGGGTAAGATGTAATTGCAGTGTGCTAGTGCTGGAAGGGACCTGTTTTACACGTTATGTATGTTACACGTCAGCCCTCCACGTCCTTCAGTTCTGCATCCTTGGATTCAACCAACCGTGGGTTGAAAATACTGGAGGTAAAGACAAAAAATAACAATGAAACAACAACAACAACAAAAAAAGGAAAATAATAACTATATTTACAGGGCATTTATTTTATATTAGGCATTGTAAGTAATTAGAGATGACTGAAAGTATATGGGAAAATGTATGTAGATTATATGCAAATATGAGGGCATTTTATTTCAAGGGACTTGGGCCTGTGGATACCAAGGGATAACTGAGCATAAGTGGCCTGTCCACAGTTATCAGATTATTGATAATCTGATATTTCCCACATACATGCAGTGCTGCCTCTAAAAACATGGTTGAATATCCTATGGATTTTTTTTTTTTTTTAAATTCGAGAGGGAGTCTCTGTCACCTAGGCTAGAGTGCAGTGGCGCAATCTCGGCTCACAGCAACCTCCGCCCGCCCCACCTTGGGTTCAAGTGATTCTCCTGCCTCAGCCTCCTGAGTACCTGGGACCACAGGCGTGCACCACCATGCCTGGCTAATTTTTGTATTTTTAGATGAGACAGGGTTTCACCATGTTGGCCAGGCTGGTCTTGAACTCCTGACCTCAGGTGATCTGCCTGCCTCAGCCTCCCGAAGTGCTGGGATTACAGGTGTGAGCCACCGCGCCCGGCAGAATTTTTTAACAATTATTTGGTTATAACTAATTTGGATAATGTAGACTGCATGCAGCTTTGATTTGTGCCACTAAGAGTGGGCAAACTGTCTTACTTTTTGTGAATCAGTAAAAATTTTCCCTCAACATGTGTTTGACAGTGTCATTCACTGCTAAGTTAAGGCATTTGGTAAACCACACAGCCTCTGCATCATAACCTTCCTAGCGACAGCCACAAGAAAAGGTGGGCATGGGAGGGAAAATGTTCTTGTGAATAGAACTGGAGCAAGCTCCATTTTTCTTTAGAAAAAGATGTAGATCAAAATAATATTTTCTTCTTTGCTATTTCTGTGCCTTCCATGGTATATCAAAATAATAGGACCAGAAATGGCCACAATCTTGTTGACTGCTGGTGTCTTCCCCCCAGTATTTCTTTAAGCATTTCCTAAGCATCTAGCTTGTGTTTTGTTATATTTAATAGATTTTCTTAAAGTAATTGTATAGATTAAAACCAGGAATAACTTAATTTTCCTAGAAAGGGAGAATTTCTCCAGAGAATAAATCCTGAGGATTTAGTTAGATGCTGTGGGTGTTCTTGTATTTTAAATATTTTAATGGGAGCAGCTGATTGACTTTCAAATGGATTGTTTACATTAATAGTAATACTGCAATTATTTTTCTATTGCATCAGTCTGCCAAACAAGTTCCATGTGCATATTTAAATTCAAAACTAATTATACTTAAAAATTTAAACCCTGCATACTTTCCCAAAAATGTTTAGGGCAGTTAAAAACAACTCTTTTGGAAGATGACTCACATTTTAAGAAATGAGAGAATACTTTCAAATGATGAATGCATTTAAAAAATAATTTGCAAAGTGATAAAGTCCCTTCGTTTTAAATCTTTTAAGAAGTCAGTAAGTAGTTGCTGCTTTTTAATGGGATACTAATAAGGTTGAGGTTTTTGTTAAGGGAAGTTTACTTATCATTAAACTCTATACTTACTACTACAAGGAAACTCTTTCCAAGTACATTAAAACACTAGGTTTTATAATTCTTTCACATTTTAAGTATGACAGGTCCACTATATGTAACATGTAAGAATGCTATCCTGGCAGTAGACATAGCGCCAGAATAAACTGGCAAGTTTTCATTCCAGACAAGTGGGGGAAAAAATGACTACAACTTAATTTATTTGATTGAGAGCTTATTGCACATGAAATGTTTTGTGTGGTTGATCTTAATTAACTTCGTTCACATCGACTTTTCTATGCTCAAGATTGTTCAATTGCTGCTGTTGCTGTTGTGTTTTCTTTCAGGATCGAGGTGGGTACCTTCATATAATATCTTCTTTTTAATTTCTTCTCTGGCAATTCTTTGCCGGATTCTTTGCTTTGCATAATTATACCTACAATGAAACCTTGGAAGAAAAGAATATGAATAAATTGTTAATATAAAGTCCTACAGAAATTAATTTATGAAATTCTCTATAAATCACACAGAACATAAATACTTACAGATGACTACCCTGAGACTGAAAAATATGAATATTCTAATTTATAGTGCTATTTTTGGGCAGTTTTGGTGTCAGAATACTATCAACACATTCTTTTTTATTAGGAAAGAAAAGGATGTCTACATAACAATTTGTAAAGTGATAAAATCCATTAGTTTTAAGTCTTCTGATAGCATTGGTTATTATAAGAAACTAGTATTTGCTCTCATTATTAACAGGATAATAATGCTATGTCTACATAAAATTATTTCTATCACCTTAAATAGTTCACTGCAGAAATTCATGTATAAATGGAACCATATAGTGCGTACATATCGTACTCTTAGGTCTGGCAAATACTTGAGGCTCATCCGTATTTTCACTCATCAGTGGTTATAAACACATTCTTAAAGTAGCATTTTCAGATATGAGTAAGCAGGGATGAAGTAAGTATTAGGGTAAGGGAAATGGCTGAGGCTTTCCTAAGTGAAGTGTAAAAACCACAGCTTTCTTTTTAATGGAATATCTAATACGCATTTATGTGTTCAAGCATTTTAAGACAGATTTCCATGAAAATGTCCTTAAAAGTCAAGATTCTTCATTGAGGGTGAGTATCTCACAATGGGAGATTCCTCTGAAAAAACGTGCTTTTTGAGTTAGATAACCTATTATGAATACTTAGCAAACATACCAGCATCCCAAAGTCACCAAGATAAACCCTCCTACTCCAACATCACATGATCTTTTAATTCTGCCTGTCAAAAATAAGCAGAACGGTCAATTAGAACATAAATGCCTGTTGTAATTGCCTGTTATATACATTACTCCATCTAGAAAAAAAACTTTCATCACATAGAGAAATGCTTTTTTTAGTACATAGAGAAATAAACACAGATACTCACTAGTGAACAAAAAATGTCCAAAGCCAGCCACAACAGATCCTAATGAACCATACAATATTGAATCCCGGGCGCAGGGAATATTTTGAACATCTAAAAATCCTCGGAGCTTAAAGGCCTAGAATGAAAAAAAAAAACCTAGATTGAGTAAGAAAGTATTTCATTTTGGGGTGGTTTGGCAAAAATGACAACACCATTTATTTTGTTGTAGTTAAGGGTTTAAACTAGAATATGTGCCATGTGACAACCTAAATCAGCTTGTATTATCTTTGTACAGCTTTGGTGTGCAGTCTGAATCTTTAAATCTGAAAGCCTTAAAAATTGGACCAGAACACCCTTAAGCAATAGGGTAACTTTTATGGCTATCACTGAAATTGAAAGCAGCATAGTTTGCTTCAATAACTCCAATAATTTGGGAAGCAGAAAAAGTAATTTGAGTCATGTTTGCTTATGTAGTGCCATTTAAAAACCTTTCATATTTTATTAACTAGGTTAACATCAACTGTGGTTGTAAGAGTAAATGTTTCATGTTAAGATAAACATGGACAATATATTAAACTCTAGTCTCTTTTCTTGCCTGTGAAGTGAGGCTGCACTTGATTATATTTGATTCTTTGTTCATAATACATGGTAATGATAGCTAGGTGTGGTGAAAAACCCGCGGATCCAAAGAGCGGGATTTTTATCTCAGATCTGCCGCTAACTTTTGTATTCTATAGGCTACTTTTATCTCCATGGTCTCAATCTATAACATGAACGGGTTGGGTTAGATGACTGAAGTTTCTTCAAGTGCTAAAATGACTTCTTTTTCTACAGTCTTCATTGGATTTATGTATTTCTTTTTCCCAATATGTTTAACTGGGATGTCTGTCACTCTAGGGCAGCAAGACAGACATTTGAAAGAACAGTCACACTGCTGAACTGGCATTTCTGTCAACACAAAAGTTTAGAAGTCATTGTAACTGTTTTCTAAAACTTGATTCAGTATGTATCAGATTTTCAGTAAGGCTGCTTTTAAAAGGAACCACTGTCCATTAGTATTTGGGGCAGGACATTAAAACTAGAAGAGGATTCTATAGGATGAGGTGATACCTAGAAGGTAATATATTGTAAGGCAAAAGAGGTTAGAAGAAACGGGGAAAGGACAGTAAAAGGCAAGTCAGATTAAAGATTGAAACATGAAGATATATATTCTCAATTGTATTTCTGCCTATGTTTGCTTCTTTGGCTCAAGCATCTGTTGGAAGAGACAAAATGTGATTTGGTTCATAATAAAGCAAAATTATTTACTCTTGGATCATTCTATTCCATTTTTTCCCTCTCCCTCTCTGGCCCCCTGCTCCCAACTGCATGCCTAACACAGGATTGTTTCAAAGCTTTGCAGTACAGTTCTTCACATTACCAAGAGGTTGGGGGATTTCATTTAGCAAAAAGACTTTTCTCCTATCGGCATGAAAGCTCAGGGGATATATGATCATGCGGGTAGTGTTATGCAAATGGGGAATGCTGGACTTACCGCTCCAGTCCAGGACTGCCCCTTAACTAGCCTATTTCCCCAAGGATGGGCTGCTGGGACCAGAGGGTTAGTACCAGTTTTATCTCTAGTCTTAGGTGCAAAGATGCGAGTGCGAGACCAGCTTCTACCACAGTGTAGAACTAAGTATTTTCTAGTCCCACTCTCAGATTCTGATTTAGATTCAATGGAGTCTGTTTAGAAAACTCCAGGTGGTTTTTTCTGATGACTATCAGACTGGGGAAACACTGCTTTAGGAAATCTTAATTTTTAACAAAAGTAAATTTGCAAACAATAGGAAAATAGCTCAGCTGGCTTTAAAGGCAAATATCTAAATAGAAGCTACACATCCTATTTAAAATAGTGCCTTCTGAAACAAACCCAATCCCCAACAAAACTCTCTGATCTAAAATAATAGTGGTTGATCTCATAATTAAGAGCTGCTGGTTGTGGGGGTGGGTGGGTAATAGTGCCAGGCTCTCTACATGTTTTGTAATTCTCCAGTCTCTGTGAGATTACCTCTGAAACAGGCTTGGGGACTTAAAAGCTAATAATAAGAGTTGGCAGGAGTGGAGGTAGAAGTCGGTTTCACCCCAAAGCCTATGACATTTCCATTGTGCCAAACCACATCATTAAGAAATAACCAAGGCTGAAGGGTTCCGTGGCAGCTTTCCAGTTGTCACATGTCTAAGAAGTAATACAATTCAGTACATAAATCCCTGCAATTTCTATCAAAATGGGAAGAATATGCAACAACTTGAGCCTGTATACCTTTACAGTCAAGTACACTGAACTGTAAAATGCTCAGAAGTGCAGATGAATAAAGGATCCTGGGCATAACTCCCTTTGAAGTATTCTATTTATATATGGAAATATTCTGTTCATAATATACATGCCTTAAACATTTCTATTCCTTAAGTAGCCTGCAAATTTAAGATTTAACTCTTTGCCACTAACAAATAGGAACCCTTAAAAATAAATTAAGGAAATGTTAGATATTTTTAAAGAAATTTAGAAAAGCAGCTTTACCAGCTCACCCTGATGGATCTAAGGAAAGCTCAAGAGATTTCCAAGCCAGAATGTCAATAAAGTATAGAAACAGATCTGATCAAATTAGAGCCAGTTGATGTTCCACCACTAAATCTGCTTCAGTGTCCGTATTTGTCTTTCCTCTGGTTGCAAAGGATGAATTGCAAAGGAAGACTGTCTAACACCAGTCTTCCCACTTGGGCACTTGATTTCCCTCTCCCGTACTCAAGGGCTTGGCTTCTGTAGCTACCCCTTTCATTTGCACCGTTAGTTTTTTTACTTGCAATAATTTACTATCAACCCTCTTGACCAGGCACAGTGACTCACGCTTGTAATCCCAGCACTTTGGGAGACCAAAGTGGGTAGATCACCTGAGGTCGGAAGTTTGAGACCAGCCTGGCCAACATGGCAAAACCCTGTCTCTACTAAAAGTACAAAAATTAGCCAGGCATGGTGGCACATGCCTGTAATCACAGCTATTCGGGAGGCCGAGGCAGAATCGCGTGAGCCCAGGGGGCGGAGGTTGCAGTGAGCCAAGATGGCACCACTGCACTCCAGCCTGGGCAACACAGCAAGACTTCCTCTCAAAAAAAACCAAAATTCCTCTGTACACCCCTCTCCCCTCATCAGCCTCCTAAATTACCATCCTTTCGGGGCAAAACTTTCTGAGTTTAAGTGTGCTTTTCTACTTAAAACCTCCCATTCTCCCTTTAACTCACTTAAGTGAGGCATCTATCCACTGAACTTGACACCAGTCAAGACCTCCAAAAGGGCCGGGCGCGGTGGCTCAAGCCTGTAATCCCAGCACTTTGGGAGGCCGAGGCGGGCGGATCACGAGGTCAGGAGATCGAGACCATCCTGGCTAACACGGTGAAACCCCGTCTCTACTAAGAAATACAAAAAACTAGCCGGGCGAGGTGGCGGGCGCCTGTAGTCCCAGCTACTCGGGAGGCTGAGGCCGGAGAATGGCGTGAACCCGGGAGGCGGAGCTTGCAGTGAGCTGAGATCCGGCCACTGCACTCCAGCCTGGGCTGCACTCCAGCCTGGGCGACAGAGCGAGACTCGTCTCAAAAAAAAAAAAAAAAAAAAAAAAAAAAAAAGACCTCCAAAAGACATCCACTGAAGTCTGCATCTCAGCATATGTGGCACAAATTATCCTTTGTTTTTGAAACTTTTTTACTTTTACTTGGCTTCAAATACGTCTCCTGGTTTTCAATTTCATTGACATCTTTGTTGCTGCTATTCCCTCCTGATGTTGAAGTGCCACTCTTACCTCCTTAGAAATCGTCTCTTCCTAGGTCTCTCAAGGCTTTCAATTAAATGCCATTATATCATGACTCCAGATTTCTCAATCAAACCCTAATCTCTCCCAAGCTTCAGCCTCATTCATCTGCTGAATGACACTTTTATGTATAAAAAGCACCTTGAACCTAGTATTTGCAAAATACATTTTCACCTCCAAACCTGCCTCTTAATGGCACACTACTCAACCAATTTTCAGACCCAAAACCTAAGAGTCATCCTTGATTCCTTCATCAAATTCACGTTCAATGTATTAACAAGTCTGGAAGGATCTACATTCTAAATACATCCTGAGCCAAACCACTGCCCACCAACTTCATTGCTAATACAGGTTGAGCATCCTAAATCTGAAACTGATAAGACACTAAAAGAAAATTTTGGGGTTTTTTTTGAAGTGGGAAGCTCAACCTGTCCTATCAAATTACCATCTATCAACAGTACCTTTTCAGATCTTGATTCTACTCACAAAAATGTGTACCAGATGACTATAATAAATCCTCTGTAGCTTTCGATAATGCTCAGAATCCTTACCATTGCTCCAAAGGCCCTGCATGATCCCGTGCTCTTTCACATGCCACTTTCGGCCACTAGTGCCGGCACCGTGGCCTCGCCATTCCTCTAACAAGCTGAGACAGTTATTACCGAACACATGCTGTCTTCCTCCTCGTCTCTGCATCACTGGCTCGGTAGAAGTCTTGCTTATTGATTCTCCCAGTAGAATGTCAGCTCCTTAAAGGGATTTTTCCTGTCTTGATCAGTCTAGTACCTAGTTTAGTGCCTAATACTCAGTAGGCACTCTGTAAATATATTTTGAAAGGGTGAATTAAGAATTTACCTGAATGTGAATTTACATGTACGAAATTTCACATTTTAAAGTTTCCTGAAGGACAAGAATGTGGCAGAGGACAGATTTTAGGGGCTGGTTCTATCAAGGTATGCCAGCTTGGTAACTCCCATTTTTACTTTAGGTTTGCTAATTCTTAAGATAATCCTCCCTGGGTTGTGCTGTAATGATCACTGACAAATTCTTTTTAAAAAAATACCACAGGCTTCTTTTCTGACAGTACCTTGGGCTGTTAATTCGTCATAGCTTCTATTAATTTAATTAGCTTTTTGATGGGCTCTGATAGGTAGTACTGTTTCATGAGCCATTTTTTGTTTTTTGGCCTCCCACCTCTGACCATGCTCAGTTGGAGGCTTATAACTATCTTCATTTCAACAACTACAATATTGTTTTGCTACTTACTGATGGGCCAATTAAATAGGTCAATGTTGATCCTTTTTTTTTTTTTTTAATTTCCAATGGATTAAACCACCTTTATGACCTTTAAAAAAAGCAGCTGTCTCCTACCAAAAGTCCCATTCAGGATTCCAGTGTTTTATCACAAAACTGAATCTAGGATTTACTGTGTGTATGCAAGGATCTTTTTTTTAAAAAAAAAAAAACCACTAAGCTTATTCCAAATGGGCAGTGTATGGGAGAGTAAAAATAGATAAGGCACCAGTAGTACGTCAACTGACAAAACCTGTTGGCTATTAAGTATGAAAACAATCTATACAATATGTGTTAATATTAACCATATGATCTGATGTCTTGGCCAAATTTAGATGGAAGCCCACCAGAGAAGCAAGCAAGAGCAAGAAGTCAGCACAATTTCCAAGCTGAGAGAGTATCTTAAAAGTATATATTAGGAGCCGTTTAGCACACAGTGGGTCTTCTATAAATACTTGCTCATGATTAGCCAGTGTTACGATCTCCATAGTTTATATTAAAACTTTTTTCCTCTTCCATTATCCTTTTCTGAATACCTGTTCTGCCCTGAGAATATAAATTGGGTTCCCTGCCTTAATAAGGAGCCCACGCAAGATCATTTATTGCCTTCCAATATGATAAGTGTAACGACGTACAGGATTCCTGGGAAGATGGGGAAAGTACCGAAGTCGGCTTTGGTGAAACACAGGGGCCCTTCCAGGGAGAGCGCTTGGTTTAGCTTTACTATACCAAGAATTTGGGTTTTATCCTTAAAGAGATGGGATGGGCTGCTACGACCGGATGTTAGGCAGAGGGATGAAAACTGTCCAGTTTACAGACTGGAAAGGGCCAGCGGATAACAGTGGAAGGTGGATTCAGGAGACAGTACAGGGACACCAGCTAGGGAGGCTACTGGTGATGGAGAAGAAAACCATCTCATCGTAGTACAATCAAGTCATCCCTCATCAATTACTTACTCCTGTGTTAAAAGTGATGCATACAACGTGTTAAAGACAAGGCACCTGTCCTCAAGGGAGCTTTAATCTCTACTATTAGCCTTTACTAGCAAATTACAGTGCAGTGCCCTTAGCAGCAAAATTTTCTCGCCAAAAGATTCAGTATTGTTAGTTTATTTCATAATGACCTGTAGTAAGTCATTAGTACTACTGGTCCCCTCCTCCCCCTAGTTTTGGTCAATTTTGTCCCGGCAACTTAGATTAAAATGTTGGGGGCTGGGATAAGGACTAGGAACAGTTAAGTTTCAAGCCCATGGGTGGCAGAGAAGCCAGTGGCACGTGCTCCGGGCCTTGGAGCTCCGCGGAGACCGTCCTTACCGCCCACCCGCGGCGCGCGCCCCGCCGACCCCCGGGTTACCTTCCTCTCCTTGGGCTCACTGGGCTCCGGCGCAGCGGCCATGAGGACGGCTCCGCGACTCCACCCGCCCTCACCGCCGGGGTCGCCGGAGCAGAAGCCTGGCCAGCCGCGCCCCTCCCCGTCCCGCCCCCTTGCGCCGCCGCCTCCCGCCCCGTCCCCACGCGCCGGCCGCCATTTTAGGGAACGTTCCTAATATTCCGCAGTGGCCGCACCGGGACGGGCTGGCGCCTGGGCTGTCATGTCCTTTGTTCCATCGAACGGGTCACACTTTCTTCCCAGCCCGGCACACAGCCTGCAGGGTCGGGAGCACGGAAGGAAAAGGGTTCGGGAAACAAACCGGCTCCCGGATTCCTGGCGGGGCGGGGGCGGAACCGAGCCATACAGCTCCGCTTCCCGCCCCAGCCCCCTCCTCCGCCCCAACCGCCATTTCTAACCGTCTTCTCTGGCGCGCGTGCTCACGTGCACGAGCCCCGGGCGCGCGCCGAGGGGCGGGGCCGCGGCGGAGGGAGCGGGCGCGGCGCCGCTGCTTTGTCCCGCGGGGTGGGCCCCGCTGCGGGGGTCGGCGCAGCCCACAGCCCGCCCCAGCCCACCGACCCGGAAGGCGCTCCGCGCTGGCTCGGCGGCCCTCGTCCCCTAAGTGTCCTTTGTCCTTCCGGCCACGGGACGAGCCATTGGTGCCGGGGCAGCCCCACTCCGCACCAGCAGCCATTTAGTCCCCAGCGCCTGCCTCGCGCAGACGGGGCTCCCACGCCCACCCCACTTCCTCCCTTTTATAGTTTCATTACTAAGTGGCTTTAAAATAGCACCGCGCAGTTCGCCTAAAGGAGACTGGGGACAAAATGGAGGGAGCAGCTCGCTAATGAACTTGCGTCAGGACGTTGGTGTCCGCGGGGAGGGCGCGCGTGGGGCGAAGTCTTCCTGCGTCCCCGAGGAAAAATGCCTCTGCAACGTGCATTTTTGATGTGAAGTCGTGTTCCACGTTTCACTCTTCCCTACGACTGCGCCGTAACGTGAAACAAAATACTGCATATTGGCGAGCTCAAATCGAGAACGCGTGCGTGCAGGGTCGAGCCCATTTTTCAGCCATCAAAATAATACAATGCAATTTCTTCTAGTATTTATAATTTTTCCCCTTTAACCTTATGCCTGCTTTATGTACTTTTACATTTCCCGTTCAGGTTATATGTATTTCAAAGGGCACTCTTGGGAGACTGGACTTGTAGAGTATGTCATTGTGCAAAGTCATGCTGCTTCGAACTCTGCTGCTCGCTGGCACACAGCAAGCGCTCAGTGTTAACGATGTCGAATTCATAAGTACTGTTCATTGGGCGGATTCTTATTCCGTAACGACCTTACTTGCATGCCCATTTAATACCTTTCTAGATCCCAGTAAAATACACGGTGTAGGATGTGTATGTGTCACAGTTAATTTTTTTAAAGTGAGGTTTTTGTGTGTGTGGGTGTTGGGGTTGTTTTTTGTTTTTGTTTCTGAAATTGTAGTTAGAAACTACATACTGTGCCGGAACGCGGAGGCTCACGCCTGTAATCCCAGCACTTTGGAAGGCCGAGGCGGGAGGATCACGAGGTCAGGAGTTCGGGATCAGCCTGATCAACATGGTGAAACCTCGTCTCTGCTAAAAATACAAAAATTAGCCTGGCGTGGTTGGGGGGGCGCCAGTAATCCCAGCAACTCGGGAGCTTGAGGCAGTAGAATGGCTTGAAAACGCAAGGCGGAGGTTGCAGTGAGCCGAGATCGCGCCACTGCACTCCAGCCTGGGAGAAAGAGCCAAGGTCCGTCTGGGCGCGGGGAGAAACTACATACTGTTCTACTGTTTGCTAGGGAAAAGAAGAGTCACCCTGCTGGTGATACCCTGCCAATTCTGGGTTCTCCGCTGAAATTCGAATGCTAACTATGCTTTGAACTCCAGATCTGAAAAGCAGTGTTGAAGGTAGTAATATTCCGTGAAGGAGTGGGGAATTCTTTCGAAGTGGTTGTTGATTATGTTGTAAAAGGAAAACTGGAAAAGTACCAAGTTAAAACACCACTGAGTCATCCTATTTTATTTTTATTGTGACTTTGAAAATGAGCTAGAGTAGACATTGTTGGGGTCCATTTTATTTGCCTTTGAAAAGTATTTTCATATGGACGATTTAATTTTTTTTTAAATTTTTTATTATTTATTTATTTTGAGACAGAGTCTCACTTTGTCGCCCAGGCTGGAGTGCAGTGGTGCAGTCTCAGCTCACTGCAACCTCTGCCTCCCGGGTTCAAGTGATTCTCCTGCCTCAGCCTCCTAAGTAGCTGAGATTACAGGCGCCCGCCACAACACCCGGCTAATTTTTGTATTTTTGGTAGAGAAAGTGTTTCGCTATGTTGGCCAGGCTGGCCTCGAACTCCTGACCCCAGGTGATACGCCTGCTTCGGGCCTCCAAAGTGCTGGGATTACAGGCATGAGCCACTGTGCCTGGGCTATTTTAAAATTTCTATTTTCACAAAATTGCATAATACTTCCATTTTTAATTAACAGTTATAGAATGGAAAGTAAAAATCTCTCAGTTCTTTCTCTCTTTTTTAAGGTAAATATAACAGTTTGATGTCTCTCTTTCTAAACTCTTCTTTTTCCTTCTTAAAAAAATTATTTGTAGAGATGGGAGGTGGGGGATGGTGTCTCACTATGTTGCCCAGGCTGGTCTCAAAATTCTGGACTGAAGTGATCCTCCTGCCTCACCCTCCCAAAGTGCTGGGATTATAGACATGAGCTTTGGCACCCGGCTTTTTCTTTTTCTTTCTTTTTTTTTTTTTTTTTTGGGGAGGGGGGGTCTCCCTCTCCCCCCCGCTTGCAGTGACGCGATCTCAGCTCACTGCAAGCTCCGCCCCCCGGGTTCCCGCCATTCTCCTGCCTCAGCCTCCGGAGTAGCTGGGACTACAGGCGCCGCCACCTCGCCCGGCTAGTTTTTTGCATTTTTTTAGTAGAGACGGGGTTTCACCGGGTTAGCCAGAATGGTCTCGATCTCCTGACCTCGTGATCCGCCCCTCTCGGCCTCCCAAAGTGCTGGGATTACAGGCGTGAGCCACCGCGCCTGGCCGGCACCCGGCTTTTTCGTAATTAAATATTATCACATGAGGCCAGGTGCGGTGGCTCGTGCCTGTAATCCTAGCATTTTGGGAGGCCGAGGCGGGTGGATCAGCTGAGGTCAGGAGTTCTAGAGCAGCCTGGCCAACATGGCGAAACCTTGTCTCTACTAAAAATACAAAAATTAGCCGGAAGTGGTGGCACACGCCTGTAATCCCAGCTACTTGGGAGGCTTCGGCAGGAGAATCGCTTGAACCCGGGAGTCAGAGGTTGTGGTGAGCCAAGATCTCGCTATTGCACTCCAGCCTAGGCGACAAGAGCGAAACTTCGTCTCAAAAAAAAAAAGAAAAAAAAAATTATCACATGAATACCTATATTTTGTCTTCATTAAAATAACACTGGAATATATTGGGTAAATAACGAAAGGCTGTATGTCACACTTGCCTCCATGCCTATGTATACATATATCTGTATGTGATACATGCTGAAATGACACGGTACCACATCATTTGCGTTCAGTAACTTACTGTTTGTTATGTATCTGGGAATTTGTTTTATGTATGTACTACAGATTTACCCATTCATTTTAATGACTGATTAGTAATCCTTTATTTTCTTTCTGATTGACATTTCTGAAAGTTTCCATTTTTTACTAATCCCCCAAAATGTTTCAATCAGCATCCATATGCATGCATATATGTGCACATGTTCAAGTATTTCTGTAGGGTAAATATCTGGAAATGCAATAACTGATTTAAAGGAGTACACACTATCTAAAATGTAATACATACTGCTAATTTGTCTTCCAAAAATACTATCAATCTACATTCCCCATCAACTGTATGGGAGAGTTACCTGTTTCCTCACCTTTTCAACACTGCATATGTTCACATTTTTTAATTTGGGGGAGGGTGGGCGTGATGGCTCAGGCCTATAATCCCCTTGCAATTTGAGAGGCCAAGGCAAGAGGATCTCTTCAGGTCAGGAGTTCGAGACCAGCCTAGGCAACAAAGTGAGACTCCTCCTGACACCAATGTCTGTCAAAAAAAAAAAAAAAATTAGCTGGGCTCAGTGGCATGTGCCTGTAATCCCAGCTTTTGGGGGGTTTTGGGGGTAGCTGAGGCAGGAGGAAGCATTGCTTGAGTCCAGGAGCTTGAGGATGCAATGAGCTATGACTGTGCCACTGCACTCCAGCTTGGGCGACAGAGCAAGACCCTGCCTCTGAGCTGAATCTGATAGGGGGAAAATGGTATCTTATTGCTTTAAACTTTTCCTGGTTGTTACTATGGTTGAGCATTCTTCCAAATGTTTATTGACCATTCTTTCTCTGAGAATTAACTTTCTATAGCTTTTGTGTGTTTAAAAATTTGGGGACAGCACTTTGGGAGGCCAAGGTGGGAAGATCACATGAGGTTAGGAGTTTGAGACCAGCCTGGCCAACGTGGCGAAACCCTGTCTCTACTAAAAATACAAAAATCAACCAGGTGTGGTAGGTAGTGTGCGCCTGCAGCCCCAGCTACTCGGGAGGGTGAGACAGGAGAATTGCTTGAACCTGGCAGGCGGAGGTTGTGGTGAGCTGAGATGGTGCCATTACACTCCAGCTTGGGTGACAGAATGAGACTCTGTCTCAAAAGAAAGAAAGAAAGAAAATTGGTTGTGTATGTGATTTCCCTGTTAAAGCAGCTCTTTACAAGTATAGTTTTTAGTCCTGATATATGTAACGAATCTTTTCTGCATGGTCACTTCTTTGTTGTTTTTGTTTATGGGTCTTTTATTTCTCAAACATTTTAACTCTTTTTTTCTTGCAGGATCAAATCTGTCCATGTTTCCTTTTATGGTGCTGAATCTTGTGTCTTGCTTAAGTAGGCATTCTTGACTCATAATGA